AGAGAGAGAGAGAGAGAGAGAGAGAGAGAGAGAGAGAGAGAGAGAGAGAGAGAGATCAGTCGACCCCGACAAAATCACCGGCGCTGACCACCAGTTCAACAAATTCGCCGTGGACTGCGCTATCTCACCCCTCCAAACATACAATGTCATATAGATAGTCGCGTGCATGCACCTCCGCACACACCATTGATAGTCGTGTATACCCGCACACACGGCGCCTTACTCCGACACCACGTCCCGATGCCAACATAGAACCGGTTCACTGTCGCAACACTCCCCCCTCCTGGGAACATGGCCCGATCCGTCGTGCACTCCCCGCTCCTGAAAAGACCATCCCGGGACGATCATCCGAGCCGCCGCGCTATTCGACAAACCGCTCGCGACGCAAACAACAAAAACTTTTGAACGGCCAAGCGAACGGAAATATATATTTTTTTTGAACAGGCAAGCGTCGCGCGGTTCCACAAAACGCAGGTACTCCGTCCCTGGAACCGGGGAAAAAACAAAAAAAATATTCCGGCCAACTGTCGTGCGGTTCTACAAACCGCTGGTACTCCGCCCGTGGAACCGGCACGCGGACTCCCACGAGGGAACCGGGTCTCCCGTGGGTCCGTCACGTGAGACCCGCGTTTTCCTTTATATGTATAGAGATGTATTTGTGATGGTGTGCCAGAAAAAAGGCGTCGTTGTCAAACTTTAGCAGGTGGCACTACACTGCACTCTGCGGTGCTTGCCTACCTGACAGCCTACGCCAAGCTTAACCTTTAGCATACCATACATTGTCCCTGGACTTCATAACCCTGATCTTGTTGTGTGCGTACGTGTTGGCCCTTGGTAGCTGTTTGGCCTCCTGTCCGCCCACGTCTAGTGGTAGAAGTTGGGGTTGTGAATAGGTGACGAGAAGTCAAACACTCCCAATCTGCTTGGCGTGGCCATGCTAATCTTCTCTGTATCGTTCCAATCTTAACGGATGTCCCGAAGTACCCAACGCAAAGTTTTTTTTTTTTTTTTTTTTTTTTTTGAGAGCAAATTAACATTTATTGCAAATAGACGTCTGAAACATCGAGGCCGGGGACCTCACAATTCAACCCCGAGTAACAGAGGTGGGACCCATGCCTTAATGAACCATCCATGCAGGAAAACGGGTCCTGCGTCCCACTACTGAAACCTGCTCTCAAAAAAAGATAGCGCACAGTAAAAGAGGGGCAACAATTACCCAAACCAGATCCAACGCAAAGTTCGAGAGTACTCTCGAACCTTTTGAAGTGGGGGGCGGGGGGGGGGGGGRGGAGTCAAGAGCGGTGTGGCGGGCGTTCAGGTAGGTAGCATTTGCGTGATGACGCTGGGCGGGCGTTCAGGTAGGTAGCATTTGCGTGATGACGCTGGCCCCCATCCGTTGGTAATGATGGGCTGACGGTGTAATTATTTGTTTGTTCATTGGTGGGCATCTGCTGTCTGTGCTTCCAGCGTATGAGTAAAAAAAAAAAAAAAAAAAAAGCCCAACGGGGATCTTCGCCCTCCAGCATGTAACGCCTCCTGGCTTCACACTCCGTCTGTGATCTCTCCTTTGTCCTGTTGCTACTGCTTCATCTGGAGCAAGGTCCCACTAGCGACGGGGATTGGATTAATATCCTGAATCTGGGCATGTTTTAGGCAGAGATGCAGAAACGGAGTTCAATCTCGATTTTCTGCACTTGTCCGCAAACGCGGCCAAATTACGGCGCTCAATCCAATCCTCTTTGCTAGTGGGACCTCGCCCCTGGTAATGATCCACAGGGCAGGAAAAGTGTGATTCTTTTTTTTTTTTTGCCCTTGTCCTCGCTGAATGATTTCTTTGTTCTGTTTTTGTTTTTTGGGGAAAAAAGCAAGAATTCCATTCGAAAACCAAATGAGGCCGACAAAAAAAAAAAAAAAAAAAAAAAAAAAAAAAGAGGCCGATCGCTGAATGTTCCAGCATCCTAAGCAGTACTAATTTTCGGGAGGGGTTTGAACTGCCGACCTGCGGCGAGGTCCCACTACGGGTAGCGAAGAGGATTGATCTGAACGTCCGAATCTGGACGCGTTTGTGCACGGGGTGCACAAAATCGAGATTGAACTGCTTTTCTGTATTTGTGCTTAAAACTCGCCGAGATTCAGGCGTTCCATCCCATCCTCTTTGCTACTGTAGTGGGACCAGCAGCGAGCACGGACCGTCTGTCTGTCATCCGGTCGCAGCGCGAATCCCGTCGCCTTGTCGGTTTGCCCGACGAGCGGGAGCAAGGTCCCACTTGCACGGATTAAGAGATTCTGGCCGTTGATGTTGTTTTTATCTACGGTCAATATCGCTTAATCCGTGTAAGTGGGACCTACTGTAGCCCCGGCGCGGAGGAGATCTCCTCTATGGGCCTCGCTCCACTACTCTCGACATGCATAAAAGACAAAAATCATGGCAGTGCATCTTTCCATATTCTAGCGGTAGATTCACTTTAGTTTTTGCACATTTCGAGAGTAGTGGAGTGAGGCCCTATGCTACTGGCGACTGCCGCCTTCCGCGAGGTCAGAGTCAGAATACGAATACGACTTTTATTTACGAACGACTTTTTCGGCCGTATCGGATCGCTATTCTGAAGAGATTCAGTCGAATCAAAGTAAATGAGTGTGAATAGCACTTGAGGTATCTAACCGCTAAACTAGTAAAAATGCAGTCAAAGTAAATTGGAGGAAAAACGATTCTTAGGGAACTGACCCGCCAGTGCAGCACAGCGTCCGTACTGTACAGTTTGGCGGGACGACCGGTCGGGACAGACTTTCACCGGGATCGGGGTACTGGCAACTTGGCGGTTTGGACTTTTTTTTTTCCCTGTTTTTTTTTTTTCTCCCCTTGTGAAGCTTTGCTGATGCCCGGCCCGCCAACAGCCAAATGGTATTTCAGTCACGGGGCCAAAAAAGTCCCATTAGCCGCTTTCAGCTTCCTTAACGTCCGAATCCGAATCTGGACGTGTTTCTGCAGGTGTGCAGTTGAGGAAACTCAATGCGATGTCTGCACACCGCCGCAAACTGCGTCCACATTCGGGCGTTGAGGAAACTCAACGCTGCCAGGGCGATGGCGTTGAGATGTCATCATCGAGCTGACCAGCCCCCGGCATTTCAGAAATATATATACATATATATATATATAGACCTACTACCAGCCACCACTACAGATTAGACATCTAATAAGACCAATCTATTCCTACTACAGGGCCTATCAGCGGCCCGAAATCCGCCTATTGTGGCCGAATGGGAACCAATTCCCCCCATTAATGCGAACACTCTCCACCCTCCAAGACCCCTATGCAAGCTACTGTACCTGCCCACTGGAACCGAGTGCGCTGGTTCATGCGTACCAGTCCATCCCTAGGCATATAGCCAGGGGCTGATGACCATCTTGCCTCCATGCGTGATTGCCGCTAATTGGTTGTCTCGAGCCCATGTGACCAAGAACCAGCGCCTTCCTCTAGACGTTCTCCCCCTGGCTGCCTTCCGGACCCAGTCCACCCTGATCAGCGTACAAATCCAGGACTTTATCCCTTTGATAAGCGTTGAGTCACTGGACCACTGCTCCTCGAAGATGATCTTGTTCAGAGGACCCAAATGATGATGGCCCGGATAACCTGCGCCACATATCCCCTCCCCGTGCGCTTGAACCATGTTACTGGTATGGCGCCGTAGATTACCCAGGCCTCATACCAGTTTAGCAGTGTACCCACAAACCAATGCCAGTGTCTCTCCCACCATTGCCAGACCCGCTTGGAGGCTGGACATTCCCAGAACAGATGAGCTAACGTCTCCTCGTGGACCTTTGCAGAAACCTTCTGATACCTGACTGCGTTTCCCATGACCATGCCAAGGGGTCAATACGCAAGTTTCTGAGGGGGAGGCCATTGAGGAGAAGTTCACAGCAAGTGACTCCTTGCTTCGTGAATCGATACACTCGTATCTGTTGCAGCTCTTGTCTCCCATCTAAGGCTACCTCTCCCAACAGCTGCAGCTCGTTGGTACCCATGAGCTCTTGCTGAGGTGTCCAAGCTTGTGCCTGCCACGTGTCCTCATCCAATTGCTGTGTTACGTAGTAGACTGCTGTCAAATCCACAGGTTGCTCACTACGATACCACTTCCCAACTAACAGCTTGGGTGCTTGCAGCAACTGCTTCCACTCAGGGGGAATTGCTGCTTGGATTTGTTGACTCCTGACTTGGACAAGCTGCAGGCCCCCCAACCTCGTTCTGAGCTGCTGCTCTGTCTTCCAGTCCCCTTCCTCAATGCACCAGAGGTCCGCCAATTTGACCACTCCACGCTCAACCCATCTCCGTCCAAAATTGCCGGTGGCTGTTGACGCAGCAAACGGTCTGCCTTGTGAGTCCAATATCTGCAGGTTATCGAAAATGTTTTGCCCCAACACCTCCTCCCTAGTTATTGGCCATTCCTGCTCTCGTGGGCAGAGGGCTCTCCATGCGGCCCAACAGGCACTGACTGTTGGTGAGCGGAGTTGTCACCGTGCGTAAGAGCTCATAAAGACGCAAGACCAAACGTCCTCCAATCTGCTGAGCCCGAGCTCTTGCTGTAGCAAATATTCGAGTACCTTGAGCCAGCCTCTGCGCTCCACCTGGGTTGCCGCCCTCGCTAACCATTTCATCAATAAAGCAAGATTCTGTTGTCTTGGGTCAATGATGCCCAGCCCGCCCTCCTGCTTATTACTGGTCACCTTAGCCCAGGAGCATTTGGTGATGTAGCCTTGCCCCTCTTGTGAGGTCGGCTTCCAAAGATAGCGCGCTGCCTCTGCAGTCAGTGGCTTGAGGACTTCTTTAGAGAGAAGGCAAACAGCAGCAATAAACCAGACCTAGGCAAAAACAACGGCATTGATCAACAACGCTCTCCCCAACAGTGATGTGCCTGCTGCGATGCGGCAACGCTTCAAACTGGCCTGGACCTTAGCTTGTAGAATAGCCTGTTGTCTTGGCTTGGCATTCGACAACAAGACTTGGACTCCGAGGTAACGCTCCGAGATGTCCGGGGGAATGCGCTTCATCCCCCAGTCCTGCCCCGTTAGGCTGTATTCTTTCGGGAGGAAGTAAACTGACTTGTTCCAGTTTACTTGGGCTTCGGATACAGTGCAGTAGGCGTCAAGAAGAGCTTTGGCCTCCTCCATCGACTCCTGCGTAGCTTCCGTAACCAGCAACAGGTCGTCCGCTATTGCCCCCGTCAGCAACGTGTCAGATTCCCCCAAGGCTAGGCCTTGGATGCATGGGGAGGCCCGGAAGGCATTGAGAAAAATCTCCATCTGCACTGCGAAGAGCAAGGAGGCCAGAGGGCAGCCCTGGCGCAGCGAGCGCGACAGTGAGAAGGTAGGTGAGAGAAACCCATTCACGCTCACTGTAGCTGTTGAATCGCCGTATACCTCTCTTACCCAGGTGCAGAATCTTGGGCCGAATCCCATATGCTGGAGCGTGGCGAGCAGGAAAGACCAGTTGACGCGGTCATACGCCTTCTCGAGGTCCAGCATTGCCGCGATGACCTGCCTCTTCTCTCTTTGTATTACCTTAAGCGCTCCCACCACCATCAAGATGTTCTCCTCACTTGATCTACCTTGAATGAAAGCACCCTGGTCTGTGTGCACAAGCTTCGGCAGGTACGGGGCAAGCCTTCTAGACAGCGCCTTCGCCAGAATCTTATAGGACACATTGAGCCTCGAGATCGGTCTCCAGTTCCAGATATTTGACTTATCATCCTTTTTATAGATCAGCGTAATGATGCCCAGTTTCATATCCTCCGTTAGGATGTCACCGTCAGGGACCCGATTATATAACTTCAAGAGGTCTGGCCCGATGTGCTCCCATGTCGCCTCATAAAAATGGACTGGCAGTCCATCTGAGCCCGGGCTTTTGCCCCTGGCCATGCATTGGACAGCCTGTTGAAGTTCTTCTGCAGTGAATGGTTGCTCGAGAGCATCTGCGGCTTCCTGACCCAGCTGAGTGTGTGTGTGCCGCCACATTTCCTGCTCCTCCCGCAGTTGCTGCAGAGAGATGTCTGGTTGGCGCCGCGAAGTTAGGATATCCTTGAAGTGAGTGAAAGCATACTCTCCAATTGTTGTTGAATCCGTTGCCAGCGGCGCCTCTGCATGGAACAGATGTTGCAGTTCCCTCATTAACGAGTGTTGTCTCGGAGGGCATAAGCGCTGAAAAGTTTCCTTAGTTAACCGATCCGTTGTCCGCACGCCCTTTTCCTGTGCCCTTTTGGCCCACACAACCTGTTGTTCCATTTGGAGATCCTCCAACCTTTGCAGCCATTTGTTCCGCCTGCACTGCCAATATAGTTCTGCAACTGGCTCGTTTGCCAGCTCCTCCTCCGCCTCCGCTACCATTCTTCTGCACTCTTCCTCTTGCTGCCTTCTACCTCTAGCCTGCATTCTTGAGAAGACGTCCATGGCCCGAGTGACTATCCTCAAGCCCATCTGTGGCTAGTCGCCCTCCTCCTCGAATTGGTCCTTAGTCTGTTGTCAATTCGCCCAGTGCTTTGCTACCTATTCGGTGACCCCCGACTTGTTGAGCAGATCAGTGTTCAAACGAAAGGTGCCTGGGCCCCTCACTAGCTGATCTGGCAGGGTGAAGTTTGCCACCAGTGGCCTGTGATCAGACAGGAATTCAATCGGGCAGTCCACCGTGGTAAGGGACTCCCAAGGGGAGCCCCTAGCCAACACTAAGTCCAACCTCCTTTTCGGCGGGATGCTGTCCCCAGACGTCTGAGACGAGAACCAGGTGTACCCTGGTACTGTTGGATGTGCCGTGCGAAACGTGTCCGTTAGCCCCTGCTCCGCCAACAAGGCGGCCAGCATCAAAGCATCCGTCTTCGGTAGTGTGAAGGTTGGTGAGTCCAGGCCTGGTACAAGTGTTACATTGAAGTCGCCACCAAGGAGGTGGTTGTCCGTTCCCGGTAGAATCCCTGGTAGTTCTTCGAGGAAAGAGCGCATTTTGCCCTCTCTGCGGGTGCATAAACTGTCATCAGCGTCCAGATTTCTGCTCCGAGGCACAATCGCACCCAAATCCAGCGCCCCCAGATATCCAGGTCATGGTCCAGGATCTCCATCTGCAAGCACCGATGCAACAAGATCGCACAGCCCCCTCTTGTGTCTTCCGCGGGAGCCCAAAATTGGGGGCCCTTCCACCATTCCTTGACTTGTTTGATTCTGTCCTCGTTAAGCTTGGTCTCCTGCAAAAGCAAAATTTGCACCTTCTGATCGTGCAGCCAGGTTTTGAGCCTGGGTCTTTTCTGTCTGCCCATCGTGTCCCCCAGCCCCTGAATGTTCCAGGTGTTACTTAACTGCTGCGCGGCTTAAGATTGGATCCGCGTGTCTTCCTCAGTGGGCTGCTGCCTTAACTGCCTTGATCTTTTGTTGCCTTCCGGTTCTGCAGGATTACTCCACGGCGCCATGAGGAGCGTTCAAAAGCCCACGGAGTGCGGCTGCTTATCTACCGCTAACGTGCTGCAAAATTCAGCGACCAACTTCGCGTTCATGTCCGCCGTAAGGTATGTTTCTTGCAGCTCCTCAGTTGTAATGGAGGCCAACCAGCTGGAGGGTAGCCAGACTATTCCCTGCATGGCGAGCAAGGCTGCTGTCTCCAGAGCCACCTTGACGTCGAGCACTGCAATAGAGAAGTGTCAGCTACCTCTCGCTGCAACTGCTGTTGTTTTCCTCCCGATTCAAATTCCCGACACCATTCGGAAAGGGAAACGGTCAGCAATGAAGGTAGCTGCCACTGCCCTTATTGCCTCCTTTGTTGTTGGCGGCTGGCTCACAGCAACCGTAGGGATAGCTAGAACGCCCTTCTCCGTACGCATCGCCATGAGTTTGGTGCCCTGCAGAGACAACATGAAACATAAGATAATTAACTAATGCCTAATCCCCGGTGCCTGCTGCCTGCTGCTAGATGGCTGCAATGCAGATGTGGATGGCCCTAGCTGCCCCGTCTGCGCTGCAAGCTGGGATGGGGGAACTGCAATCGTGTAGAAGTCAAGTTCCTCCTCCTCCTCTTCCCGTGTCGTGCAGCCATCCCCCTCCGAATTAATCCTCCGCTGCTTGAACGGCGTCCGGAGGGTTTGCCTGGGATCCCTCATCGTTGTGTCCTCCTGGTGCTGACGCAGAATGCCTGTGCCCTGCTGTGACTCCTGATGGGACCTAGAGTCCGTCCAGGTGATGCCTGTGCTGGTAGGAACTGCGGGGGCTAGAGGTAGGTACGTAAACTCCGGGTTATCGTAAACGGTGTAGTTTTGGAGAGTTAGAGCAGGGAGATTGTTTGCAGCGGTGAGGCAGGCCAACGGTTGCGCTGCGTTAATGGAGCGGCAAGAGGAGGCGAAGGTGCCGTGGGTTGACTGATCGGTGGGGCAGAGAAGGGGGGTTGTGCATAGTTGCCCAGCGGTGTAGCTGCGTGAAGTGGAGCAGTCAGCTGCAGGGACGGGGGAACAGCTGGACAGGAAAGGGAAACCAGCGGGGGGGACCTGAGAAAGGCCGGTCCCTGGCTATTGGCCAGTGAGGCTGCTGGAGCAGAGAATGGGACGCTAGGCTGTGCCGGTCGCAGAGGTAGGGGAGATGCGTTCTGACAAGTGATGCCTTGGTGGGCATGGAGGGGCGGAATACGTGCCTGAGGGGGGTGGTAAGGAACCAATGGACCACTCCCCTGCAGTCCACTAGCTCGAGGGCCTTCCGGTCCGGGCTGTGCTGGAGCGGGCGCGAGTAGAGGGGGCGGGGGAAGATGCGGATGGAGAGGAGGATGTCCCAGCATCGTGGAGGGCGCTGCGTGCGGCGGGGGAGGTAATGGCTCCCTGAGCCTAAGTGGACGGGGCTGCGAGGGGGGCCTCCCTCCGGCTACTGTTGCTGCATTGGCAACTCCCTGACCCGCCTGATGTGGCATTCCCCTATTCTCAGTCTGACGTCTGCCTCGACCCCTACCTCTTGCGCGTCTACCCGGTGGCATTGGCTCCGAAAACCGCGGACAATCTGGGTCGAATTCATCATGGTACCACCAGAGACACTTTTGACAAAAGGGAGTATCCTGGTTAGCTAACTGTATTGTCAGAAGCTGGCCGGACGGTTTCCTCAATGCAATCCATTCGATGAAAGTCTGCCGCACGGACGGGTCACAGTCTATTTTAGCGTTGCCTAGCCTTGGCTCATCCACGCTCTTCTCCGGGGGGTGCATACAGATGATCTGAACCAATAGTTGTTGGACGGCATTGCGCACAGAGAACATCGCTCCAAGCGGAACGCGAAGTGCTATAATCCTGTACTTGGTTGCCGACTTTGCATCCTGGAGCTGATCCAGCTCCTGCTGGGTCAACCACGGCCGGAAGGTAACTATGACCGGGCCGTCTCGCGATGGGATTATGTCTTCGCCCTTACTAATCATCATTTGCGCAATCTGCTTGGTACGAGCCACATAGGACATGATATTGGGGCCCTCCCCATGAGTGCGCCCTCTCTTTTGTGAGGGATTAACCCTGGGGTCATGAAACCATGCATCCTCGTATATACGCAGGAACTGTTCCCGCTGGGCTATCGAGAAACTAGCAGCCCGTGAATTGAAGATTGCGATTATTGTACGTTCCTTCAACCATGTCACTGTTGCTTCATCGACCTCTAGGCTTAGGTTAAGATAACCCACGCCGTCCACGATTTCGGCTACTCCATGGTCGAACGATGTGTCGGGGAACAGGCCATCATCGTAACAGATGTCTAATAGACTTTGAATGTGCGCGAGATCGTCCCCTCCGGCCTGGGCCCGGCCAGCCTGGGCTTGGTTCACTTGCGAGGCCGAGGATGAAGGACCATCCATGATGTTTCGACAGACCTATCGACTCAGAGCACCAAAATCGAGTTTGAAGGCAAACGGGTGATGACGGTGGACGATTGAGATAACGAAAAACAGTGAGGTCCGTCTGACGTTGCAATCAGAGCACCGTGACAAACAGTCGCATGACCTAGCCTTGAATCTCGGTGAATACCTCCCCAGTCGGGTTCGGTCCTTTGCTCCCGTTGGGCAAAGGGGGCTCGACTTTCAGCGAGCGTTAGTTAACAGTAGACACAGGCCTCGCAACATTCGAGGGTTTCTGATCCTACTCTCCTCTCGACAATAAGCATGAACTACCATGGGGGATGACCGTTGTGAGAGAATGGGAATAGGTAGGCGGGAAGAACAGAAATGGGGGGAGCGGTGCGGACGGTTATGGATAGGGAAGATAGAGGGCAAAAGAGAGTAGAAAAGGAGGGAGGAGGAGGAGAAATTGGAGAGAGGGATGCGTTATTAGCGGCACGTGTGGCTTCGATACGGCTAAACATTCGCTTCCTAAAGCTAAAGCCCCCTGAATCACGTGTAACCCTCGAGCCGCAGATATAGTGATATTGAAACACTCCGGATGAATCAGCCTGAGCAGGGAGGCTGACAGATCGAAGGACGGTGGTGGTGGATGAATAATGACGATATTGGGAAGCCAGTGCCGTGGGTGATAAGGGCGCGTAGCACACCAATAAGAGACGAGATTAGGCCGGGAAGAAATGAGAATGGGACGAGGTCTCAGTGGAAGAAGGGCAGACGTGAAAGGGATTATATCGCGTTTAACTTCTTACGAATGAAAACAGGAAGCTATAGCAGTTGATTGAAGATATAGAGAGGGACGATTGTTATGGAAACTGGGGTAAAGGCTAGGTGCAGGAGAAGAAAGAAAACTAGCGAGTGTTGACTGTCGTCAGAATTCTGTACCTCGTCGATGCCCGACGTACGTGCTTGGCGAGGGCTATTGGCGCCCTTGAATACCTCGAGGACAGGGCGCACGCGCCTGTCCGAATCCTCATCTTACACTTGAATTACACTTTGTTTTACTCGTCAAGTTCCATCATCAGGATTTGAACACAGGTCCCTATTTCAACAGTTCATGGGTGTACCCACTGAGATAGGCTCCGTAGCGCCATTCCCACCCTATTTACCAGATAGAGCAAATTGGAGCACGTATCTTTCTGCTGAACCTGGAAAGGCCCTAAACTCATAGGAAGAAAAGAGCGGGGGTCGTGACCCACTTAGCGGGGGTTTAGTTTATGTTTCCTGTATTTTCGAAAACGTGGTCACACTAGGGCCGTGGGATTTTCAGATCGGATGGCAAGGAGCCATGTACACTTGAAACCGGAACAAAACCTCGAGAAGTGGGACATGGCCCCGGGAGCTCGAACGCAGTCTAGCGTTTCCGGATACTACAAGGGTTGGGGCTTTTCCACCAAAGGGGCCTAGTGTAGTTGGTGCACCTATGAACTGTCAAAATGCAGACTTGAGGTCGGATCCAGAAGGAATTAGGGCATACTCACAGTGGGACCTATAAAAGAGGTACAGGACAGGTCACACAGATTTGCCAAAGTCCTAAATGTACCATTCGTGTGCCCATTTTTCAGCGGTCTGGGAAGCCGCGGGACAAGGGAATGTGCGGTCACCTCTCGAG